GTTTTTAGGCTGCTTCAGCGGGTTCCGACCTACTCGTATGGCATTGAGGATGGTTTCCCGTGGCCATTCTTGGCATCGGGACTGCGCAGTGTAATCACAGAATTCGTGAGGGCTAGTGTTTTGAGGTCTCTAAGGGATACGTTTCTCGTGCTAAAACGTACAATAGTAGAGAGTCAACAGATCTCTTTGCTGCCTTGGTCTGGCGCTATGAGAGACGTTCAGAGGGTGCTTGCTTCCATGAAAGCGGTTTGGCTTTGTGTTCAACTCCGTCGTTCCAGTGATTCCCTGCAGGGCTCTGAAGATCACCACTGGGTGGCTACAATATCGACGGTCAACCAGCATACCTCCTTCCGAGCCACCCTAGACGGCTCAAAACTCCGGATGCATTGTCTGGCGGCGGGGGTGCTGTTGTGCCACAGACATTTTCCTCGTTCGGCAGCACGTCTCACGAGATCGAGCGCTCTTCCGACGAACTGTCTCCCCCCTCCCAGCGCCGCCTTCCATGCAGGAGAACCGTGCAGTTCCGGGGATAACGTCGCTTCCTCCGCCGAACCACCTTGCAGTTCCGGGTATGGCTGCGTCTCCCTTAGCCGAGCCACTGTGCCGTTCCAGGGAACTGGTCTCGCAGAATAGACCAAAACGTTATTTAAGGCCGTGCAGGCCCCATGTTAGAGGATTTGCCCCAGCCGACGTTGTCGTGCTGGCCGGCGCTGTACAAACGACAACCTGCTACAGTAAACGCTCCTTCTTGTTGCTGTTTTCAAAACGGATTGCCTCCCTGCTTCGCCTTCGGGCAAAGGCTTCGGCGAAGTCCGCTCGACGGCTCGCTGCTCTTCGCCACCGCTACTATCGCGACACAGCAAATTCCTAACAATATATATATCTTCAATTTCTCCTCCAAGTGCGGCGTGCCGTTTGTATAGGGCAACTCGAGAGACGAAGTACGATGCAAAAGAAAAAGGTAGCCAAAGCGGACGAGGAGACCAGAGAGAGAGTATATAGATAGTGTAAGCTGGTCAACCTGTCGTCTTGTGTCCCCAGTCTTCCATTCTTGAATTTCACTCCATTTACGAAGTTGCGCTAAATATTTATTCGTCATGCCATAGAAACTCGCCCGTACTTCTACTCCCGAGCTATGCAGCACGGCTACGCATATACGAATCGTGTCAACAGTTCATTCCAGCGGGACGAATGTAATCGCGTATGTGCGTTAAGCTCAACGTTAAGTAGATGTTAACTTGATGGGTTTTACAACGTAAAGCAAGTGAGCTCCCTTTGGAGAGCCTTTTCTAATAATAATTAATAGTTTTTGTTTACACGTCCCAAAATCGCGGTACGAGGTACGCCGCCATGTAGAATGGGTGGGCTGGTGCGAAATTGTGTTGAGGTCCTGCAAGGCGCGATTTAGCGCACAGCGGGCGACTTCCCACGTCGGCATCATCAGGCCAAGCCGTATACAGCGAGAGGCTCCGGCAATTTCGACCACCTGGGGTTCTTCACCGTGCCCCTACGCCGATGTGTACAAACTAGGACTTCTACGCGGGATGGGCTTTCACCTCCATCGAGATCCGGGCCTCCACAGCCGGCTTTCGATCCCGCCACCTTCGAATCAGCAGTCGAGAACCGCAACTAGTAACCCACCGTGGCGAGTTTCGGAGTCTTTCTCCTGTGCTTCAAAAATAATCACTTACCCATATAGCAGGCTTTCCTCTCTTTTAGCGCCGCGTGCACAGTCGACTAGGTACGCACAGCTACGGAGATACTCCGTGCTTCGGTGACGTGGCTCACGAATTCACTTGCCCGCATTCATACGCGTCGTCTTTATTACTGATCGAGCACAGGATATCTTAATTGCACAGCTGCGCACACAGCAAGAGAAGGCGTCCTGACTTCTGCAACGCGTTCCGTTAATTAAAACGGCCAATGTCACTCACGCACTCGCGAAATGCATCGCGGACGACACGAAAGCCCTCACGGAGAAGTCACAACTACAGTGGAAAAAGTGTTCCACCAAATTTGGCGGCAGCCTGGCAACACTGATCATCCAAGTCTGGCAACAGTCTATGCAACGCCAAACAGAACCTTGCTTATCTCTCCCTCCCTGTTTACTTCTCAGAGCGTTCCTTGTTTCACTCGTTAGATTTATTCCATCCCACGCTGGACAAATCGGCGCACCTGTGCTTGGAGCAACGCAGAAGATGAGGAAGAAAAGGACGAAGATATAGGTGCCGGTTCATAGACGGCGACGGCTTTCTGTTCGCGGATTATGACAGACGGCTGGCATCAACCGCTCCGCATTGAAAGAGACCGACAGCTACCCATCAGAACACGAAATCACTGCACGATGCGACTCAAACCAACCCTCGTTTTTTTCCTCGCGAGAATTGGGGTTGTATTTTTATTTCTTCATTGAAGACGGTAAAATATGGTCTGTGGCATCACCTGCTGGCAGAAGCTTAAGTATTCGATGTACCTTGTCACGTGACCATATACAGACTAGTGTACGCGGTCAGCAGTTTTCAATATCAGTAGTTGAAACATCGTTTGCTTCTTAATAGTAAAAGGTATTACTCCATAAAATGTACATGCAGGCCTGCGTTATTAGTACGCATTGAAGTGGCGCTGCCTTCGCATGGCGTAATGATGCCATGCTCGTCAGCTTGTCTTAATTAACTTTTCTACGTGCTCATGAAACTGTGCGCGGAGTTTCCAGGTCGCTAAGATTTTGGAGTAACATGAGATTTCTACCAACACTTCTGTCTCAGAAATGACGTGGACTGCTACTCTGCACGGCCGCGCACATGCGCAGTGACGTTTTCGGTAACTAGGCTTGGCTGGTGCGTCAAAGAGAGTAACGACGACGGGACAATTAGGCCGTCCACGACGCAGGCGCAACAACCTTGGGGGCAGGCGCACGCAACGCGGCACAAATACGGGCAAGATATACGAAACCACCTCGTCTCATTGTAACGTCTCGTTATTTTCGAAAATAGTTGTAAAGCTGAGAATAAACGTGGTTAAGTATAGTTACAGGAAATCCTGCGAAAGCAGAACTACGACTGCATGCACAAGTCGCTATAGAAGGGGCTACCGGCACCGCTATCGATTCTCAGCGTTGCTGGACAAAATGGGACATCCATGTTCAGAGCCTTTGAGATCGTAAAATACTGCTTTTAAGTAACTACATGTTCTTTTTAAGTAACTACTGCAGCTATGAACATTGCGAAGGGCGAGCTTTCTGTCACACAGGAAAAAACTGGGTCGAACAAAAATCAGTTGTCGGCCCCTTTGAAAACCGTTAGCACGCTCCTAGGGGGAATCACCTTTTATCTCACACCCATAGCCTTCCTTTTTTTATTTCATTATTCAGTCTTACAAGTCAAAAACCGCGCCGAAACAACCAAGCTTGGGCAACTCGGTGTATTCTCCTTATCATTATATGCTGGCTGACGTGCCCTGCGCCGCAGCAGCCATTAAGGCTGGCGCCAAATATCGCTTCGTAATGCAATATTACGAAACTATAGCACAATAAAACGACTCCGGTTAACTGATGAGTTTAAATTACTTCGAGGTGATTGTGCGCGCCATCTGTGAAAGCGGTTTTGAAAGAGCGCATCTTGTCTCTCACGACCCTGAATAAAGTTCCACCACCAATCACAGCGTAGTGCCACTGCAGCAACTATAGAACGTCGTCGCCGAAAGCCTCCTAAAAAGTTCATTACCGGATCGCAGCCGGAACGAGATCGGAGACGCACCGATTCCCTGAGGAGTACAACGTCGCTGACTCTATAATTCCAGCGCGAAGGCGGCCCAGTCAGCGAGATCAGCCGATATGTCGAAGGGAGATGGTGAAGCCGAAGAAGCTTCCATGCAGCTAAATATGCCCCGTGAAATTTCGCGAAGCCGAGCGTTCTTTCAGGGAAAAAAAGAAGAAGAAAAAACGATCAAGGATTAGAAGTTCGTTTCTCCAATTAGGAGCACGCGCTTCGAGAAAGAGAGGGGGACGCGGGAAACTAGTTGACCTATAGACTCCTTGAGAACAGTCCCACACAACCCACAGCGATGCCTTCAGTTTCTTCCATTGCCCCGCAGAACAAGCACTGAGTAGTATCAATAGCCACAGTTTTTAAAAAAAGCGTAAGATACGAGAACCGATGACTGCATGGATTATTTTCATGATGTAAAAAAAAACAGCGCAAAAGACGACACACAAAAGGAGGACACACGCTTGTCCTGTTTCCTTCTTTTGTGAGTCGTCTTTTGTGCTGGGTTTTCACGTCATGAAGCTGAACAAACTCACCCAATTTTGTACTGGTTTATTGTTGCGAATGTTTCTCGAACGTCTTGAACACAGCGAGAACATGTGGCGTTCAACATTCGCACATTTGTTTAGTGCGATGTGTGTGTGTGTGTGTGTGTGTGTGTGTGTGTGTGTGTGTGTGTGTGTGCGTGCGTGTGGTGTATCCATATCTTACTGTTTTATGCGTTTATTGCGTTTATTCGCTGTAGAAGTAGCCCGCGCCTCACTTGTGCTTCCGCATCTCTTTCGAATCATATTGATACGAAGTGTCACTACCAGGAAAAACAAGGGAAGCGCGGGTAGAAAAGGAAAACGACGTTGCTTTTACTGCGATCCCCCTGAATGGGTACGAGCCATGGCGGTGGAATGATCATCATCTTGCTGTGATCGTTGACTCAGTGCCCATTAACCCCCCCCCCTTTAAGTTACATTACCTTACGTAACAATTTGGTGGAGGTGCTGGGTAATGTGAAAGTTTTCAAAGCAACATTCAGATGCTCAAAAACCAAAATGTTCCAGGAAGGGTGGATTGACAAAGTCTCTTGTTTGCAAGATCAGGTTAATGCGAATTGCACCGACCAAGAGGTAGAGTAGTTAACATCCAGTAACGCATGTTAGTGCATGTCCTGACATGTGTGGACGATACTATGATGATGATGATGATGATGATGATGATGAAGTGGATATTGAGATTACTCACTGGAATCATAGAGAGCCTTCCTCGTGATGACCCTCCTGTTGACGCGCGCACCTTTCGACTCGTCTTCCGAGCTGTCGCTCAGGTCCTTCTCATTCTGCGTCCCTGCAGCGGAGAACGAATGACAAAATTCAATCACTCTGGAAACGTCCGCACAGGGGTATACGGCTGAACTTGCTCGATGAGGTGATCAGCTATCGGCAGCCGCCGGTAGTAACGTCCCGCAGCTGCAGACCATTTCACGCACGGTCTATGGCGCCAGCATTATCGGCTACGGCGCCTTGCCGTTTCGTGTGTTCAACAACAAAACGAACATCGCTACGGTATATGCGTGAATGTTTTTGGGCAGGTGCGTTCGATGTTTCGTGGCCCTATTAATACGCATCGCGATATAAGAAACAAATAAAACATTCGCTTAACATCCAGAGACGGCGAGAACGTGTTATATCGTCTAAATAACAGGCAGGCAAGGGAACCCGCTGTGGTTTAAGAAATTGGGACAGCTTCGCACTATTGGTGGCCGAGCCTGAAGGCACAGCGGTGCTGGACGGCTTTTCTTGTTTCTGCTTACTTTTCTTTTTTTATTATTTCTCTCCAGTTCATTCTCTGTTCTTTCTGCTTCCTATTTGATTATATATATATATATATATATATATATATATATATATATATATATATATTCATCATTTTTCTTTTAAGGGAAAACAAGGAATTCCTTCTCTATTTCTCGGTTCCTCTTTCTATGATATGCTTTAATCTCTCCACACTTTCTTTTCTTCGCCTTCACAAGTCATACGCACCCTCACCTTCCTTTTCCACCACCTCGCTATACTATGTACTATGCCAGGCTATGTTACACTCCGCTAGCATGCCTGGATAGCCGAGTGGTCGCGATGCTCACCTTCGGATTGTAGGTACGCAGGTTCGGATCCCGCCTCGTGTAGGAATTTCTTCGCCAATAATTTACTTATTTCTCCTTTTGTTGTTTCTACCTTGCTTTCTCTGTCTCTTTCTCTCCCTGTCTCTATCTCTCTCTATACTTGTTCCCTAACCCATCAGTGTTATGGAAATCATGCGCCGAACAAATCAGAGTACGTGCTCTTTGAGGGAAGCAGAAGATGAAGAAAAGGAAGAAGATGACCAACCCATAGAGTTTCCTAAAATAACTAGAGGGGACTCTGGCACTGCGATCGTTCAGCGACCATGGGAATGATGGGTAGTACACACATATGCCTTGTCTTTGTACTTGCGGGTGGCGAATCGTACTTGCCGCTTCGTTTATTGCTGTGTTTCGGTTTTGTTTTGAAAGAAAGATTCAACCCTTCTGAACTTCCTGACCCGATTTGGAAAGGTAAGTCTAAAAGAATAAGATGGTGAAGCGCAACCGCTGAACATTTGCTAATATTTGTTTCGTGAGAAAACAGCTCCAAGCCACACGAAGCCAAAAGCGGGCCAGGAGTACAAATATTAGACAAACGTGTGTACTACCCATCATTTCCATGCTCGCTGAAACGCCGTGCGTTGCAGCTCCCATAGACACTAGCGCCATAGTTCACTCTAGTGTATTTTAGGAAACTCTATGGACGAACCCAGCATAAGCTGGTTTATGATGGTGCTATATAGTTTTCTGTTGACGTACTGTAACCAACGACTGGCATAAATAGCTCGACCGGATTCGGCTGCGGCTCGTGCTCTCGTGTTGCGGTGCTGACGGCTCCGGTAACGTGCTGGTTTAATCTCTTCGTTGGTTTAGTTATCGCACTTTTATCTAAAGTAGCGTAAGCTTACTCAAAATAAAAAATGCAATAATATTTACTTGTGACCCTTATTACGTGCAGGAAACACGAAGCGTAACAATTCCGAGAGAGGGAATCTCGCAAGACTATTTTCAATTGCACGCTGGGTTCAGACTCGGGTATACGCACCCACATTAGTGAACCGTAAGCAGAGCGCCCTATGGTGTGCGAACGCTACACGGTCACGCGCGCACGAAACTCGGTAAACGATGCACGGAAACTTCGGAGAAACGCGTATCGCTTCCACAAGTGCACGTGCCGTCCTTCCGTAACTTTGTTGCGCCATTTCCTGCCTCACTGCAGGCGGTGGTCGGAGTGAGAGGGACGATAGAGTGAGGCTCACCCTTGTGCCATCCTCGACCGACGAGCGCCGCGGAGGTCGCCTCAGTGCCGTTGTGGTTGCTCCGCACGGGACCGTAGCGGCAGCTCGTCTCGCTCTTCTCCGGCACCACGTAGTTGGGCAGGCCGCGGTAGAACCAGGCACCGGACTTCTTCCACATCTGATCACGTGCAGAGAAGCGAGCAGCGATTTAGTAGTAGTAGTAGTAGTAGTAGTAGTAGTAGTAGTAGTAGTAGTAGTAGTAGTAGTAGTTGTTGTTGTTGTAGTAGTTGTAGTAGTAGTAGTAGTAGTAGTAGTAGTAGTTAGTGGTAGTAGTAGTAGTTAGTATTAGTAGTAGTAGTAGTTAGTAGTAGTAGTAGTAGTAGTAGTAGTAGTAGTAGTAGTTGTTGTTGTAGTAGTAGTTGTAGTAGTAGTAGTAGTAGTAGTAGTTAGTGGTAGTAGTAGTAGTTAATAGTAGTAGTAGTAGTAGTTAGTAGTAGTAGTAGTAGTAGTAGTAGTAGTAGTAGTAGTAGTAGTAGTAGTAGTAGTAGAAAAGCAGACGTCTAAGGAAAAGGAGAAGGACATACGTTTAGTGAGATGCGCTTTGCGTATTGCGCGACAATTCAGCCGATAAATTAAAAGCCTCGAACAATCGTTTAAACCAACCACGTCTGCGACAAGCGAGCGTATGGCCCCATCTGTTGGAACTATCACTGGAAGCGTTCGCGGGACGCAGCTGACGTCACAGAGATGGCAAACGCAACGTGGTATATAGTGGTTTTTGGTGAGCATGTGCGTAAAAATAGAGCGGGAACCATCGACACTATACGGTCGTCGGCGAAAGTGAAGCTCCAAGACTCTACCTCTGCCGGTGTCATTATATTTGCAAAACTGGCGTGTTCTTACTCGTACATAAGCAAATTGTTGCAACGCGCTTCTATCTCCGCATTATAGCAACGCACCAAGTATACATGTTTGCCACCGCGCCGTTGTCGTGATGTTCCGTGTAAAGTCCACGCGCGACAACACACCGCGCAGGAGGGAAGCGAATTCGCCCTAGACAAGGAGGGAGTAGATGAGCGAGCGCGAACGAGGATTGTGGACGTGATAAGAGGCGTGCGAGGCGTATAGGGGGCATTGCCTCGTGTCGTGTTTAGCGTGATTTCTGTCGGTTAGATAACCACAAATACGCAGCAGGAGTGCAGCGTGCAGTGACCAAAGGAAAGAAAATTGGAGCAGCGATGCACTCAATGCGAAGAATGAGGCCTCAGCGAAGCTGGTGACGTTGGTCTACTCGTTTTTCCCTCACTTCCTTTTCCCAGCCCTCGCTATATTATACTATACAAAATGATTCACTCTCTCACATCCTCAGTTCTCATCTCAGCCCCCTCACTTCACTTTCCCATTCAATGCTATGGTATACTAGATGGCTATGCTTCCTGTCTCTTTATCTGTCTTATGTGTCTGCGTCTGTATCTTTATTTTCTAGTTATATTTCTATCTACGTTTCCATCTGTTTGTTAATCTTTTTCTTTCTACCTCTCTATCTGTCTACTTATGGCATCCCACGACGGACATTATTGTTATTGTTACGGGAGAGGCCTTTCCCCTGCAATGGGCGTAGTGATGATGATGATGATGATTTCTTTTGCATCCCACGTCGGACGAATCATCGCACGTGTGCTGGTAGTGAAGCAGAAGATGAAGAAGAGAACGAATTTATGATGATGATGATAGTTTTTCGGTGTCGCCACACGCCGTAAACGAAAATCTCAGCAGCTCCGCCGTAAAATGCAAGCCTTTTGCCACTCACCTCCCGAGTCTCTGAGCAAATTTTGCATAGCCATATTTGTTCTTTCTGGGCACCGTAGGTGTCCACGCTGCACTTGCTGCACACGGCCTGCGACAGTAGAAGAAGATGACGAGGATCGGGAAAAAAAAATCGCAGTGGGTACGAGCCACTGGTAAAGGGATAATCAAGCAAGCAGGCAAGCAAAATCATAGAAGACTACGCCTGTACGAACGTTTGAACACGCCGTTACACAGTCCAAGAAAAGCGCGGCAACAGAACTTGATACTGCTATCAAAGACGTAACAATGATCTTTATCTATTTTCAGAATGTGCGTTTGTGTGCATTTGTGTGTTTTCCAGAGTATCTCCAGGCATACAGAATATCCGAGTTTGGGCGCGTACGTGGGAACATATTTCACTGACATGAAGTCGTTCTCGACTCCTTCTGACTCATGTGCTGTTTTGGTTGTACTTAATTTGCACACCTTGTGTTCTACTGTCATTTTGTAGCCCTATTACTATTATCTTGTGCTGAATATTTCGTATGATAATGAAGAAGGGGCAGCCGGTGCCGCCTAACGGCATCAACCATTCCTTCTCACCTCTTCAATAAACAAAACATCAACAACACGTAAGCACTAACATAAGCTTGCTGATACGTATACACTCGAAGACCGACCCGCCGCTTATCTAAAACAGCAAAAAACAGCGCGTGTCGTTCTGCGCATATGTGAACATATATCGTATCGTTGTAGTTCTCACTTTTTTTTTCTGTTTTCGCGGAGCTCCTGTCTTACGCTCGCAGACAGGCCGGATAACGAAGTGCTCTAGGTTCCACATGGGACGAGTGGACTCGGATGAGGCTCGCCCTTCAAGGCGAGAACTTGCGCAGAGAACGAAAAATATCCGCCACGCAATCCCCAGTGTAGTATACTGCCCGCTCGTCCATCTCGGAGGTCTGTTCTCACTTATTAAAGCGAAGACCCCTTTGTCCACGCGTCTAGTGAGACTGGCTGACCGAGAGAAATAGAGGAGAGGAGAGAGAGAGAAAAAGAGTGTTGTGTGTGTGTGTGTGTGTGCGTGTGTGTGTGTGTGTGTGTGTGTGTGTGTGTGTGTGTGTGTGTGTGTGTGTGTGTGTGTGTGTGTGTGTGTGTGTGTGTGTGTGTGTGTGTGTGTGTGTGTGTGTGTGTGTGTGTGTTAGGAGGAGGGGGGAAAGCATGCGGTCGTGATCGAAGCAAGGAGAAACCCTTCTTCTACACCTCGCCCACATGATGTGCACCTGTGGACTTCCCTTCCCCGCCTGTTGCGCCTCGATGAATTGCACGCAGCAAACGCGCGTTGCTGCCTCGGAGGAGGGCCACTTCGTGCGAAAACGCGCAGCTGTGCTTCCTTCGCTCGACGGGAACGTGCCTCGTGCGTGGAGTATCTCACTCGTCGAAAAACCGGACAGCTATCTTCACAAGTTCTTTTTTTTTTCTTCGCGTAACTTCCATATTCGTGATATGCTCGTCACCCCCTTTCTCGCTGTTGGAACTCCCAAAGTCTACCTTGAAAAACGAGCGAAATTGCGGGTAGCTCGACCGTTTCGTGCCACACGCGTGTGTTTCTCCGGTGGACGAGCAACGAAATTCAGCACGTACCCGTTGCGGCCGAGGGCGGTCAACTATATGCGCATCTGGAACGCCCACGTGATATCCACGTTCGAGATTGGATTGGCCGTATACCGAAGTAGCTCCTGTCTGCATTTCAAGACGCAGTGCATCATGCACAGGACAGGTTCAGCAAAATAACCGTAGAGCAAAGATCGCAGCCAGAACCGTTCTCTTTTGTTATTTAGGGGCGAAGCTCCTTAAGGCGTGGGCTGTGCGTCCCCTGTATGTAGCCACCTCTCGTTTAGTTCTTGCAGTGTTCACTAGATGGCGGTACTTGTTGCTGATGATGAAAGATGTGAGATGTTATAAAATAGGAACGGTGTCACATATGGTGCATGTCATTGGTGGAAGGCAATCGTTCGACTTAGTGCGGCGACGTACGCTAGGGGGAGCGTTGTCATAAATATGAGTGGGCAAAATGTACGGAGGCTTCATGGTTTACCATGTTTACCTCCGGAGCTTCGCCCACTCATCATCATTCACTTCGTGCATATGATGGCACTATTTTGTCAATCAATCTTTATGCGTGTTTCTGGGTGGGGTTTTGTGTGTGTGTACATATACAAATTCGAAATTGAAAATTTGAAGAGGGAAGCATGAGAACATCTCCCCCTCCGATATCGCCGGGCGGCGAAAACACCTCCCCTGGCTACAACAATGCTGCCAAGAACTGCGCCTGTGTAGGAGCGCGAACATCAATCAATCATTGACTCTCAACCGATCAATCAATCAACTGATGGCCGGACTGATGGATGAAGCAGCACCCTGATTATTAGAATTCGTTGGGAGAGCTGCAGAGCTGCTTTATCAAGCAAACAGCTCTGCTCAGTCTTGCTCGTTTAACACAGCACACCAACCCTCGCTTAACATGACGCGACTGCTTCCGACAGAGACGTACCTTCCTGCAGTCGTAGCACGTGAGCGGAGAACCGCTGAGCAGCCCAAACTCGTTGGCGCACAGGACGCACTGGCTCGTTCCATTGCCGAGCGCGTTCCGCTTCATGTTCTCCAGTCGGTCGACGAGGCGCCTGCGAGACGAGAGTGGGACAAGAAGTGAATGTTACGTATGAACTCATGACCATAGCCTCCGAGATCTGGTGGCTCGAAGCACTTAGTTTCATGATATTACACTGTGTAGGGAAAATCGGGCAATGATCTTTGTGTAAACTGCAACGCAAGTCGCTTTAGCCAGCATTCGAAAGATGGGTAGTGCATGCATTTGTATAAGCTTGCTTCTTTCGGCTCGACCACGGGTCCGTGTGACCTGCAACCACTTAGTCGCAATTCACCAGGCGAAGTTCACTAAAGGTTCAGTAGTCCCGCTTCACCACCTTAACCCTTTAGAGGCGCACTATTACAAGTCAGCACAGAACGAGTCATTTATATATATATATATATATATATATATATATATATATATATATATATATATATATATATATATATATATATATATATATATATATATATATATATATATATATATATAAAGGCCTTGGCTAACTCGTCAAACGCGAATCCGGCCGGCGTTGTCTCACGTCCCGTGAAGCGTCAGAGACGAGTGAGGCAGTCAAATCGTCATCACGTGGTGATGTAACCATATGACGTCACGGATCACTAAATTGTGTGGCGCCATCATGATGTCAGAGAGACTTCACGAAACGTAGCGTCAAATCACATCATAGCTTGGTGAGAGATGGTCCGATCACGGAGTCGATGCAAAACGTGGTGAGGTGTCTCCGATCTTGGAGGCCGTGAGAACCTCGTTGTGTGCAGAAAGTTTTCGAAGGGTGGCGGGGCAGAAAGAGAAAAGAATACGGCCATTGTGAATGAACGAGCGCAGGAGCTGCGCTCGCATTTCTAACATTGAAATCGCATTTCTAAGCGCATTTATAAAATTAAATATTATATGAATTATAGAAATATTTCAATGGCTCCAAAAGAGCAGAGGGAACCTACCATCTAGACCCCACGACGCGATAAGCGCGCCTCGCAAACTAGTTTTACGTCTTGAGCGAACATCACGCAACACCACGTAGCTTAAAATGGAGCGGAAGGTGCAGATTCAGCACCAGTCAATCAAGAGCGCGAGGTTTCGAATCCAGTTTTACATTGAAAACAGAGATTGAACGAATCGGGAATGTACTCATGACGGCCAGCGCGAACAGGACTAGACGAATTCCACACATGTGAGCATGAGCCAGCCATCGACTGCTCTCACTGGTTCTGAAGAGTTGTTCTTGCAACATGTGTCGTTGTAAGCCTCCATGACAAGAACTTTGATTTGGTTCTCTAAATTTCTCAGTTTTTTCTTTTTTGTTGGTGTACATTCTTCTAGGCCTGAGTCTCGATTGCACAGGCCACCACTCTGCAAGCTCGTCCCTCCTCTCCTATTCTTCCACATCCCCCCCCCCTAAAAATTAAAATAAAAAGTCAAAGCGTTCCTTTTACGCTCGTTGAAACGCACTCTCAGGTGGCGAAGACCTAGTTACAATAATTTCTTGACATGAACGAATCAATGGTTACCCAGGCAACTGAAACATGACTCAGGTGAAGACAGGAGACACAAACACAAAGATAGACATAGAATTGTAGTTCGGCGCTTGCCTGTGTCTGTTTGCGTTTCCTGTGTTCGCCTAACTCGTGCTGCAGTTCGTGAGTAGCTATAGGTTTGATGAGAAAGGAAAAAAAATAAACCGAGGGGAAGGAAGAAAGAAAGGACGGAAGAAAGGGATAAACACGGAAGGGAGGTGAGAAAGAAAAGCAGACAGAAAGAAATAAAGTAGCATAGATAGATAGATAGATAGATAGATAGATAGATAGATAGATAGATAGATAGATAGATAGATAGATAGATAGATAGATAGATAGATAGATAGATAGATAGATAGATAGATAGATAGATAGATAGATAGATAGATAGATAGATAGATAGATAGATAGATAGATAGATAGATAGATAGATAGATAGATAGATAGATAGATAGATAGATAGATAGATAGATAGATAGATAGATAGATAGATAGATAGATAGATAGATAGATAGATAGATAGATAGATAGATAGATAGATAGATAGATAGATAGATAGCATAATTTCTCACCCTACTCGTCGCTGTTCGAGCTGTTCGAGCATGTCGGCCCTCTTGATGACGCCCACGATGAGCTCCTGTTCGTTGTCGTTAAGCTGCTCGTGGCGGGAGAAGCTGCTCAGGGCTCCCGTCTTCACCGACCAGCCCGTTTGCAGCCTGCAAACGAGAATCAGACGCAAGTTGTCGAAATTCGACTTCACTGCTCTCCACTTCGTATTCACAGCTGTGGAATAACCGAAAATATAGGTAAAGATTGGAGTGCACAGACAAGTCTAATTTCGCCACTGGGCATTGCCCGTAACACATCTAGTATTTGTTACAGCGTTGTGCTTCAGTGTTCTTCTTTAAAGCACGCCGTAACCACTTCAAGTTCAAAGACGAGATAGTGTCTTTCTTTTTGTTTTTTTTCTCCCGCTCACTACCTTTCCAACATGTTCTATCTTCTCCTCGCAACCTATTAACAGCGAAGTTGTTCAAGGCAGTCATAAAAAGTCACAGTTTCGCCAAAAGAGGCGATGTATTGAATGTGACGCAACATATTCGAATGCTTTACGAATCAAGGCTAGCATATTTAGCAGCAATATAAATTGTAGTAAACATGCGCTTGCTAAGAACCAAGTTTCCTCTGGCGCAGCCACAGTAGATCACCACAACAAGGCTTGTGCGTAGTGACGGCGTTGATGTACGAAGTGAGACTGGCAGTCAACTCATTTAGATCCGATCTCATGTAATTCTACAAAACGCGGGTATAAGAGAACACGGCCGCTCCAGGTGCACTTTTGGCACCGTCTTTTCGTGTTGAGAGCACAGCCCATAGAAGCTCCCGCCTGTTCTGGGGGCACAAGCCACGCGCTGATCGTTGCCGCGATAGCGTGGCAATTATAAGCTCCTCTACCTCCCCTCCACCCTTGTTTGCTTACGAGATAAGCACACGCGCAGACGATCCCGGCCGGAAAAGCGATGTTCACTCCACTGACAGAGGAGACTAGCGCGCATATGACGGTGATGGTGATGACGACGTCAAAAACCAGCCGGGGCTGTCCATATGTCACAGAACGAGCGCTAAAAATGGGCGCGCCGCCAAATTGTCGCGACGAAACGCCGAGTGGCGCCGCGAGGTCAAAAGAAAAAGCAAACAAACCTCTAAAGGCTCCCCGGGGCGCGCGCTCTCCCCTCGGAAGCGTGGCTTCACCGACGAACCTCCTCGCCCCACATCGGCGGCCGAGATAGCCAGCGAAAGTTCCAGAACGAAAGGGGCGTGGTCATACCGAGTTGAGTCATCGGCCGCGGAGGGCGTGCCAACCGTCTTGCCCTCTTCCCAGCCTTCGCTGCGTATCGCGCCGACGAAATGACGAGAACCGTCTGGAATGTCGCGCGCAAGGTATTTAAACGAGCAGCCGAGATGAGAGATCAGGAGAAGACGGAAGTTGGCGCCAGAGTGCGTAGGGATTCCGCCGTGTAGTCGGCGAAGGTTTCGTCCGTAGGGACGAAGCAGGAGATGAAGAGGATTTCCACCTGAGGGGTGAAGGCTCGAGCTACAGGCAAGAGCGTGTGTCTACCGCTATCGAGCGAGGACGCGTGGCAACAGCTGCGTGTGCGAAGCCGACGTGTTCGGGCGAAGAAGTTTGAAGCTTGGAGAGTGGCCTATTGAAGACGGGAGGTTTCCTGGAAGAGAAACTTCGAGAGCTGCGGAACGACAACAACGCTGGACTTTGAGTGAGTGATTCTCGGAAGAGCATCATTCAGACTTTTGTTCCAAGGACTTTGGACTGAATAGGTTTCCTATCTCTTTAGTCTTTAAGTGCCTTGGTTGTTCAATGCATGCGACTGCATTGTAGTGTGTATTGTTGTCTGTGTCCGTTGTTTAGAGTGTGGCTGATTGTACTGTGTAGTACGTTGTTTGATTGGTTTGATTGGTGACATATTGTACTCACTTATTGTGGAGTGTGCATACTCGTGTATTGTTTTCGATCTGCCGTTATCGAGAATATAATTTTGTTTGTTTATCAACTCTCGGCTCTGACTTGTTCTTTGGGCCACAGCCGGCGTCTGCTGGCGCGCCAATAAGGACCACTTCTAAATTGTCCACGCTTTCGTGGTGCGGTTCCGGGGGCCGATACTTCGGCTCTTGGAATTAGCCCGGCGATCGCCTCCCTAAATAACGGGGACTGGTGTGACAATTAATCTGGCGTCCGCGACAGGACAGGAAAAATCGGCAGATCCCACGTACAGTGGCAATCGATGATACACGAAGCATGAATCAGGAAAGTTGATATGTCACTTTAAGATCAGCACAACGTTACGAGACGAAGGTAAATTATGCCGTACATGACTTTCATGTCATGATTAGGATGTTTGGACGTGTCATTTACCTTCGTAATCTATTCACGTCACCTGATGCCAAATTTGGTATATGTGAAGCTAACGAAACAAGCGCGAGTGCACTATGAGCGTAGCATAGTTATGTTACATGACACTCATGCCATGATTATCGTCTTTGGACGCGTCATTTACCTTCGTCGTCCGTTCGCGTCACGCAATACCAAATTTGGTATATGTGAAGATAGCCAAACGGCCGCGTGCGTATCATGAGCGGGGCGTGTTGGCATGTTGTTACATGACACGCATCTCATAATTATCATGTTTGCACCTTGGATATTTTCGTCGTCCATTCAAGTCCCGTAATACTAAAATTGGTTTACGCGAAGCTAGCGAAATAGCCGCGAGCGCATCATGAGTGTGGCATGTAGTCATGTTGTTGCATGACACGCATGTCATTATTTTTATGCCAGGGTCTGTCGCTTGTGTTCGCCATGCATTCATGTCATACTTTACCAGTTTTGCAACATGTCATGTGAACGAAACCACTGCGAGAGCAGCAAGACCACGAAATGTAAACATGACAATCATGACATACATGTCATGATTTTCATGTTATGAAAATCACTTATGCTAGTCACTTATGCTCGTCGTACAGTGATGTTATGTCATACCGATTTTGGTATCGATACCATTATCAAAATGGTCAAGAGAGCTAAAAGTCGTAGGCCACTAGATAGATAGATAGATAGATAGATAGATAGATAGATAGATAGATAGATAGATAGATAGATAGATAGATAGATAGATAGATAGATAGATAGATAGATAGATAGATAGATAGATAGATAGATAGATAGATACGCTCAAAGTCACCGAAGTTCGCTAAGAAATGTGTCGCATTTAAAAGTGCGCGTTTCACGGAAAGCCAGCCCCATTCGGTAGCCATAGCGACGAGCGACCCCACAACTGCTAGAGCGCATGACATAACCTCGTGACGTCATGCTAAGCCACACGTGTGCAGTAGCGACAACCATGAGCCTGCTATCGCTGAGCCACGCCCAGGGACGGGGATACGTCGCGCTGCCGAGTTCTGTCGCGCTTCCGCCGCTACATCAAATAGAACCAAGGGACGTGCAAAAAAAACGTATGTACTCCCGAGGTAGGAGCAGTGCATCAGAAGCGTAAAATTTCTTTTAAAAAGACTTTCGAATCATCTATGTCTTTGTCTCACTCCCTAATAAAAATGCAAATTAGAGGCGATTGTTGAAAAGCCGAATGGTCCATTGTTCTAGAGTGGGCAGCGCGGTGTTGACGAGCATAAATTTTGGTGAATTTCGACCCGATACTGCTAGAAGAGCCTTCGAAGAAAGAGATGTTTTCGCTTGGAATTCGAAAGAGGGCAGAAACAGTTCACCTCTCTGAGCCTCCCTTTGTTTCGACCGACATACTCGCAGATGCGTTTCGCTTGTTAGTTTTTCGTATTTGTAGACCATCGGAACTCATTGCCCTTTGTTAAATTTCGTAGCTCGCGCGGTCAGGAATCGGGCGCCAGTGCGATCGAAATCAAAACGTACGTTAGTATGGCAGAAGAACAAAGAACTGTCCTTGCTATAAATCTTCAGTGCTATACGCTGGAGCTGTATGAGGGCCATTCAACAATTTGCCGCTTTTCAATCAGCGTTTCAATTGCCGTCTTTGTTTCAGACACCACCGATGCGTAATATATGCAGAACTAGATTGGAAAAAGTTTCTCGTGTCTTTACTTGTTTCCGAAAAAGCATTTGTTGAGAATTTCTTGCTCGGGCACGTCTGTAACGCTCTTGTCGTCGTCGTCATCGTCGTTGTTGTCACCGCCTTAATTAACTCATACCCTCAAAAGTCACGCTTTTAGTAAAGAATGTTCAAGGATAAAGGGAACGAAACAAGGCACCAGCAAAGTAAGATCATCCAAAATAATCATAACAATTTTTCATGCTCTTATTAAAAAACATAATTTCTTTAAGTAGTATCCCTCACTCGGTTTCGCAGTAATTTCTTTTTCCTTCAAAGTTATGGCACGTATCCACTGTGGGGGACGGGCCAAGAATGCGTATAGTTAAATTTTGGAAAGGTTATTCGAAGGATGTTAGATGCCTTTAAAAAATGAAGAAACAAAATGAAAACACTACGTAAAACAATAAATTAGGGCTACGAATAACACGCTGTTGAGCTCTACAGGTTGAGTTCGTATTCCAGACTGCCATATTAACCTGGTCGGAAAAATTTTGAGGAGATTAGTTAGATTATACAGCATTTTGATAACGAACATTTTTGGAGAGAAGATTAACATGTAACTCGTTTAGCCTGAACTATTGGGTAGTCTAGCGATGTGCGCGCTAAAGCATCCGCCATTTCGCTTAATATATGAACTCACAGTGCCTGGGACCTAGGCTAAATTTGGGTACTTCAGCTGGAACGGAACTAAATATCGTAACGTCTCGAGGGCACGAGAGTTGCGGAAAACTCTGAGAGCAGTGCATACCGAAAGCGAATCAGTTATTGTATACTATCACACTGTTCTCGTTTGTCGGAAGTTTTCGCAGTGCCATGCTGAAAGACACGAGCTCAGCTTCCAAAACCCAAGTGAAATCGGGTAGCCTCAAGGCGAATGACCAACCAAGCGATTGGGGGACTATTTTTATGTATACGCCTGCCCTTTCTTCAATCACGGAAGCATATGTAGCTGTTACGCTACGTGTTTGTGAATGTACCAGAAAATCTCCTAACCTACATGCTCTCTAAGAATTTGTGGGATTGAAATATAGAACTTCGGAGGAAAAAAATCTCATCCTAAT